CCCATTTGTCTTTCTAATTTCATGGCCCAAACTATTTCCAAAATCATGGCTTCCCGATTGTCCTCCATTCTTCCTAAAATCATCAGTCCAGAACAAGGGGGCTTTGTAAAGGAAAGGCTCATTCATGACCAGATCCTCATTACCCAAGAAATGTTCCATGGTCTCTCTAATGACTGTCGGGGAGGAAACCTAGCTATCAAACTAGACATGTCTAAGGCTTTTGATAGAGTTTCTTGGATATACTTGATGGAAGTGTTCAAAAGACTTGGGTTCGGTGCCAAGTACATGCTCCTCATCCAGAATATTCTCACCTCCACCTCTCTTGCCGTGAATATCAATGGGAAAAACACAAAATCATTCCACACTTCTAGAGGGCTGAAACAGGGTGACACAATCTCACCTTTACTCTTCATCATTGCCTCAAAGGGTTTTAGTCGATCTCTTAAAAATCTTATTTGCAATAAACTCCTTCAAGGTTATAGTATGGGGAGAAACTACCTACCCATAACACACCTGGCTTTTGCAGATGACCTCATCATCTTCCTTAATGGTACCTCCACCAACCTCACCAAATTTCACAAATTTTTAAAAACTTATGAACACTGCTCTGGTCGTAAGATCAACCTGGACAAAAACAGCTTCTACCCCCTCCCCCTCACAAAACCCCTCCTCAGCGAATTGAAACCATGTCCAAAATCATGGGAATGAAAAAAGGTGACCTGCATTTTAAATACCTTGGGGTCCAATCATCAAAGATATCAACAGAGCACCTTACTGTAAAGATCTCATTGATCAGTTGGATAAGAAGCTTAAAGGTTGGTATAGAAAACACCTCACTCCTAGTGGTAGACTTATTCTTATCAAACATGTCCTCAACTCTATACCCCTCCAAACCCTCACTGGGAACAAAATCCCTAAATCTGTCACTACCCTCCTCAATAAAAAGATGTGCTCTTTCCTTTGGGGAGACAATAAAGGAAAAGACAAGTATCATTGGGCTTCATGGGACAAGATTTATATGCCGGAAGAAAAGGGAGGTCAGGAAGTTAGGTCCTTGGCCACTCTACAGGAAGCCTATAGCCTCAAGTTGTGGTGGACTTATCATGCAAATAATTCACTATGGAGTCAATTCATGAGAACTAGATACCCCAAAAGTAACAACTTCATTCCCAAAATTACAGATTCCATTATATGGAAAAGAATTTGTTCTATATAAAACTTTGCTACTAATATCTTTTTTGCAGCTGAAGATGAGGACATACAATGGAGACCTATTCATCTCAACGAGTTCACACTAAAGGAAGCATACCAAGCAATCCAAGCACAAGAAGAGGGAGAGGAATATATATATTGAATGTTACCCTCTCCGTCCCGATTTGTCTGTTTATTATTCACATTGATAAAATAATATAGTTATGTCACCACTAAATTTATATATATATTGATCTAATTTTTAAATATGTAATTTTTTTTAATTCTATTCTATTTTTTATATATAATGATTTGTAAATAATTTTAGTCTCGTAAAGTCTTTCGAAGACTTCAAAAGACAACTGAAATCGTTCCATATAGACAAGTTATTGGATAGCTATTGGATCAATCTTATGTACTGCACACACTGAACGGAGTTAAAGAGCATCATTGAGTTCTTATGAAGAACAAAGAATATCGTTGAGATATTGTGTATGGAAGATGAGTTTAAAATACGAGATTAAACTAAAGCTAGCTTCCAAGGTATCAATGATGTTAATTAAGCCACTAAGAGGATTGTATAAGTTATTAGGATGATGAATCCTTAAGCTAGAAGAGTTACGGTTCACAGTCACATTGTCAAGATACAGAGGTAGATTACATGACAGCTTTTGAAGCTGCTGAGTATAGTGGTTGGACCCAGAGTTTCATCGCTAAACTCGAAACGATTCATAGTAGTTTTGATTCCCGAATCATTGTAGAATGACCTAACGGGATCGTTTCACTAGCCAATGAATCATGTTTTATCAGAAATACCAAACCTCTCATCAAAACATTTACACGTTAAACGAGCATTTAAGAAATAGCATAATAGGTACGGATAATAATTTAAGAATTCCACTGATCAAGGCTTTAGGAAGTCCTAAACACAAATGTCACACTTTGTCCATGAGCATTTGTGAAACGCATAATTAGCCTTAGTGCTAGTGGGAGATTGTTGGTAATATGAGCCCTAAAGGCCAATGTATGAATTAGTATCTGAATATTTAGCAAGAATAAAAGGCCCTAAAGATTATTAAATACATCTCGTGTATCTAGCTAAACATGACTTTAGTTCAAAGACTTAGCGCTCTGGTGGCATATATTAGAACTACGATGTTCTGATTATGAGACTGTTACATTAATAGAGGCTATGTCTAAAATGTCCTTAGTCAAATATTATGATAATTTGGACGTCTAAAACAAAAAAGACCAAAAATATTTTACAACTTCTTTTGATAAACTTTTGTTTAAATTAAATTAACGCACGTCTCCCTGAGGTTCGACATCCTACTTACAAGGGTTATTTTTAGTTGTTTTTTTGCTAGTTCTATACTGCAAATCACCGCGTCTCATAGGCAATGGATATTGTGATTTCTCAATCTATACGTAGGTACATATCTGGGGGGATGGTACTGGAGTGACCCACCATGAGAATACTACATAGGTATTATTTTAAATGTGTTAGTAGTACTCTCATTTGATCATTGGTTTAACTATCTTTAAACTTGAGGTCATTATGATCTTTAATATGTTGACTTATATGCTTTGATTCATATTAAATGCCATCTGAAATATTGGTGGATGTACAGTTATGTTTTCAGTATATAGTTAAACATAAGTAAAGACATGAATGAAGTAGAAAGATCAGAATTTATCACTTCAATAGTGATATGGCCATATCCATGTAAATTAATGTATGTGATATGATATGTTATTTGAACTCCACAAGTCAATCTGAGAATCACTTAACCAATTTAACTCTAACAAGGTTACATTTCCCATACCTTGTGTTAAATCTAGACATTAGTGATAAAGTGATAATATTTATACAAACGTAATGTGTCGTTGGAGGTATTGTTACAATGAACTTTATGTTTATAAATGGGTAGCAATAATGTGTTGTTAGATACCTCTTAGGCCCCGTTCCGTTCAACTTATTTTTTCTTATATTTTCTTATTCTTATTAAAATCAGATCAGATCAGACCAGACCAGACCAGATCAGATCAGATCGATTCAGATCAGATCAGATCAGATTGAATCAGATCAGATCAGATCAGATCCAATCAGATCAGAACAGATCCAATCAGATCAGATCAGATCCAATCAGATCAGATCAGATCCAATCAGATCAGATCAGGACTTATTAAAATCATATCCCATTAAGAATTATTATTATTATTATTATTATTATTATTATTATTATTATTATTATTATTATTATTATTATTATTATTATTATTAGTATTATCATCATCATCATCATCATCATCATCATCATCATCATCATCATTATTATTATTATTATTGTTCTTAAAAATGAAAAAGAATAAACTTTAGAAATAGGTTAAATAGAAAACTGAGAAAGTAATCCTTAATTATTAGACATCGGAAAAATTAGTTTTAAAATACATTGACAATGTCAATCTAATTCTACTTTTAAAATATATTTTTATTGCAACTTGTTATTTGAGTTTCTAAACTTTTGATCTTTTATAATGATGAGATATTTTAATAAAAATACTATCTCTTCTATATATTGATTATCTAAATTTAATTACTTTTTAATGTTATCTAAATTAAATATTTATTCTAATATATAATTCTAATTTCACAAAAAAATAATCATAAAATAAAAAATATTATTATAGTATAATATGAATGATTATTCTAATATATGAATTAACTATTTTTATTTTATTAAAAAATAATCATTAAATAAAAAAATATTGATTATATTATAATATGAATTATCATTATGAATACCTGAAAAGGTCACACACATAGAACAATTGAACAGAGTAGAAAATTAAATTGAATGATATAAAATAATAGGGGACATGTGACGTACATATTAAATATATTAACATTTTAATTATGTGATAATTAGGTTTTTCAAATATTAAATGGAATATATATATATATATATATATATCTATATCTATATATATATATATATATATATATATATATATATATATAAAATCAAAAGTTAACTACTAGCAACTACATACGTAGGCAATGAGGTTGGAGTTTGGGAAACTTTTGGATGAAGTGGAGAAGGTATGTACCATATGGGGTTTGCCATTTTGATAGTTGTAGCAGAATAGAGAAGTAGCAACGAACAGAATTATGCTTCATTCAGAAGGACTCTTGATCAGATCATGGTATTCTTATTGGTTCAACCGTCAAAGATGCAACGTGCCCTAGTACAGGCTAGACCTGAATCTAACTACTGGCTTAGCTTACTTTCAACCACATAACAGGCTTCACTTTCATCTTTCATTTTAGCCATTTTTACCATCCCAACCTCTTGTAGTGTATTAGATTCGATTTCTGGTTCTCTTGGAGATCAGAAATTTTGTTTATCTTCTATAGATATGCATCTTCTTGGGTGCAAAGAACATGCCTCTACAGAATTGACCTGCAGCAGTATACTATGAGCTGGAATTTTGATTCTCTCTGTTGTCTTCACACCCAGTGTAAGATAAGGGGACTTCGGTGGTATCAACATCAATGCTTTGGCAGCTTTGCAGAACCAACAGATTACTACTGTTTCTCATCTTTTGGACTTTTATTCTTGTTGCTTCGTAGTAGTATATAATGTATTTCTTTGGCAGTAGTTGCTGGCTTCTTTCTCATTTTCTCCTTTTGTTATTTTGGCCGTATTGTAGGGGTTCTTTTGGCCACCCCACCTTTGTAACTTTTTCTTTTATCCTCTTTAATAAAATTTATTTAATATAATATATATATAAATATAAATATATATATATATATATATATAAATATATATATATATATATATATATATATATGTATGTATGTATGTATATGTATATATATGTATATGTATATGTATATGTATATATATATATGTATATATGTATATATATATATATATATGTATATATATATATATATATATATATATATATATATATATATATGGTTGGGTTCTAATAAGAATATGTCTCAATGAAAGAAATAAGAATGGATTAGGAGCCTAGGATTAATCCAATCGTGTGGCTGAGAATCAACCTTTAAAATAGGTAGTGTAATTATTATTTTACACTCCTTTTGACAGTAGAATCGTGGAGAGGCATATTTGGGAGATTTGATTTTATTGAAATGCGTAGTTGTTGGAGAATCCCGCCTAATAAGCCGCAGGCTCAGAATAGAACTCTTCGCTTCTCAATAAACCTTGCTGGTTGCGCTGCCTTTCTTGCGTTAGTGGTGCAGAGATTTTTCATTCTCAAGGTGTTATTGGAGCATTTGGGTCGGACTCTGCCTGTTTCGTACCGGCGAAAGAAGATTGCAGAGATGGAGGCTGAAGGAGTATCTGGTATGTGCCACTTTTTTGGTGTTTTTTTGGCCGACTTGGGTTTTGGGTTTTTTTTTCATGTGTTTGAGGATGCATTCTTTACACATGATAGTTGTTGATTGAGTAAAAAAATGGTGTCTTACTGCACAATTTGGCTACTGGTAGGGGTTTTGGGTTTTGGGTTGTTGATTGGGTTTTTTTTGCATGTGTTTTGTCTTACTTCGAGGATTTGTGTTTTTTTTATTCTTTGAATCTGGGACAAAATGATTGTTTTTTAAAGCTGTATGTGGGTTTTTTGTTCATTATAAGTATATGGATGATGGATGTTTATTTATGTTCTGATGATTTTAAGTGGTGCAGTGTCATGTGTTTGCATCATGTTGAGGATGATGTGCAGTTTGGGTTGGTTTCAAAAATTAGGATGTGCTGATACTGAGCAATGTGAATTGTTATTTTGAATTTAGTGTTTTCTGTGTTTTGTGAAATTCTTAAATCAGTTGCAAACATGGATATGGGGGTTTTCTGGTTTTTGTTGTCCTTTTGGTGTAGTTAATAGATAGTGTTGTTATTTGTTAAAAGATTCACTAGCATAGTGTGATTGCGTTTCGTGTATTGCATGTGGTCATCTGGTTTTTTGATGTTGTGATGATGTATTGGTGAATGAATTATGCGTACTGTGATGTTATACTTTACAGTTATAAGTTGTGTGCGAACTGTTCCTCAGTTGTTTCTTTTGAATAGGCTATAGTGCATTTTTGTGATCTGATTGAGTGTTTGTGTCTGCCTAAGGTGTCCTTATCATATCTGCACTAAATTATTGTAATTGTGCAACATGTTTGGCCTTTTTTAAGTAGATTATATTATTGTGGTGCAATAGACATTCTGCTGAGTTTTTATATGAGCATTGTAGTGTTGAATTAATTTGTTAGAAGTATAGAAAGAATATAGGTTTTTGTAAAGTATACTGCTTATGAGATATGCATTGGATGCCTATGGTGATTGTGTATAAGTTATGGTGTTTCTTACATTTTGGTATGTGTGTATTGGTGAAGTTATATTGCATTGACTGGTTAAAGCAGTATGGAGATGCCAATGTATGACATGGTTTAGCTTATTTTGTAGTGTTCATTATGCTAATTCATGGGTTTTCCCCTGGTGAAGAGCGATTGCTTAGTGATCCTTTTGTTACTAATACTGTGCATTGCATTCATAATAGTTATATACTTAGTTTGCATTTTATAGATTTATGTGATTCAGTTGGGATGAATAAGAGGCATGTTTTGGTCTGAGCAATTTGATACTGTGAGTGTGGAAAATGTTTTAACGTGGCTGCAGATTAACATTTTTTTGGTGCATGGTAAACAGTGATGGGAGTATAGGGATATGGTATTGTAAGAATTAATCATTTTGACATTGGTGCGGTGGAGTTCGATAGTGTTCAGCTGGAGTCAGAAATTGTGTTTGTGGTCTGATGCATATAATGTAGTAGTTGGTGCTTGCTTAGCTTTGTACAATGCATGGTTTAATATTAGCACAGAGGAGGGCTTACTGTGAATCTAGCTTTGTTAATAATGTGGTAATGTATCAATCTGTAGGTTATTAATGTGCTTTATGCTTGGTATTATTTTTTAGCATATAGAAATGTTGTGTATTTGAATTTTGTGCATTTTATACTAATACATATGGGTTTGATTCTTTAAAGTGTAAAATGGTTTGGACATTTGAGTTTGGTGTTGTTTGGTGTGGTTTGGTTGTTTGGGTGTCCACACAAAAGCCACGTTGGCGTTGTTATGTTTAATGATGTGATTAGGCATTGTATCCTTGCTTACGAGTATTTGTTATTGGTTTTTTTGGTGGGGTCTTTAGATCTTGCATTGAAAAAAAGTTCCAAGCGTAGCAAGAAAACAGTTGTAATGGCTTCACCAATACGAAGAAGCGGTAGATTGCAGCTTGCAGAGATTAAGAAAAGGCCAAAAGTACACGCAGCGCATGTCGACTTGGGTGAGGATGACGAAGATTCTATGGAAGATGGTGGTGCAAATGGGAATGAGAATGCTGGTTCAGATGTGTCTAGAGATGATGTAGAGAGTGGGGGAGAAGATGGTGGGAGTGGAGATGAGGAGGCTGACAGTGATGATGCATTTGAAGACCCACCACGGAAGACGTCAACTGACCCATCACCAAGGGCTTCGAGGAAAAATGCTAGAATAGAAAAGAAACGAAAGAGGCAGGGGATTACAAAATTGAAGGAAAAGTACCCGCGAATTCAGTCGAGAGCTTCTCCCACCGTTTTGCAAAAAGTGGTTGAAGCTTTGAACGAAGTTCAGAGGCGGGAGGTTGTTAGGATTGGGTTTGGGTCTATGTTAAGGATCAAGTTAACTGAACTTCCTGCAAAACTAGGATTTTGGGTGGTAGATAAATTCAATCCTAGGAGTAGCAGTCTTGAGCTTGCAGACGGAACAAAGGTGCGTGTGACAGTTGATGATATTATACATGTTTTGGGTTTGCCATGTGGGCGTGTGAAGGTATTAAGCAAAAAAAGGTGAGAAGTGTGATATACTAGAGCAGTTGAGGGTAGAGATTAGAATGAGGGACAACAGGATCAGCCCTTAAGAGCTTAGTGAAAAGGTACTGCAGTATACTGATGGTGGTATATGGTTTTGTCGTCTTTTCGTGTTGTTAGTCGTGTCAGTTTTGGTTGATAGCCCAAGCCATGGGTATGTAAACAATTGGGTTTTGAAAAGCTTGGAGGATGTGGATGGGATTGCACAGTTAAACTGGCGTGAATATGTGCACCGATCTTTGATTGATAGTTGAGTGAAGTGGGAGAAGGGGAATAAGAAATACTATACTAGACCTCTATTGTGCTTGATGGTAAGAGTTTTGTTTCCTGACAACTCTAATTTACTTCATTATAATGTAGTTGTTTTTTTAATGTAGTCTTTGTTATCTATTTTTTAAGGTGTTCTACGTTGACCGAGTGGTGCTCTATAGTAGAGACGTAGAGAGAATGTCGCCTGCATTTCTGGGATGGACATCTAAGATCCTAAGGGATAGGGAAAACAACGAGGTTAGAGCAGGTGGATTCGGGTTGGGGTATGACGATGGTAGATTTGTTGGTGAGGTGATGGATGTGAGCTCTGGTGACACAGTTGTTGGTGTGTGTTTAGAACAGGTTAATGTCAAAACTGGTAATGGTGATGCGGCCGAACCAATGGGAGAGCCGAGAGATGATCCGTTCGAGGTAAGTGCGGGGGGAATAGTTGGCAAAAAGAACTGAATTTTATTTTTTTTGGGTTGTTGAAATTTAATTCTTTTTATTTTATGACACCTTATGCATCAGGTTTTTGTTCAAAAGTTTGCATAAAAGGGGAAAGTACTGGCTACCACAATCATCGACTTAGTGTCGTTGATTGAGAGTGCACCACCTGGTACCATGGAGAATGATGTGTTCAAGCAGCTACAGCTTGCAGCGGGTAGATTATTGGGTCTGGCACAACGTAGAGGCGGTGGAAACTTAGAAACACCTGATGGAGGTTTTTCTGAAGTGACTTATGATGAAGGTTTCTGGAGCGACGCTGCAAACATAGAATAGTTGATGGCGAATGAACAGGCATTGCTGGCACGTTCAAAGTACAAGAAGATCATGGAGGATATGCCATCTTTCAGTCTGGGGTTCTCGCAATTGGATGGAGAGAATGAGAATGTGAATATTGATGGTGGTGATATCGGTGCTTGCAGAAATACTCCTAGCAGTCCAGCAGTTCGGGTAGTGAATGAGCCGGAGAGTAACCTTGTGGTTGAAAATGTTTTCATAACACCTGAAGAAGTGCATTATCGTGTGGGAGATGTAATTTTTATTATTGCCGTAGAGTGATCCTTGGTGTTGTATAGCATGTTGTTTTGGTGTTCCATAACTATTCGTAATGGTTTTGTTTTGTTCTTTGTTTGATGATGCAAGCAATTGATAGGGATTTGGCTGGTGGAAGTAGGAATCAGCCGGACAGGCTTGGAATGACAGCGGTAAGACCGTTATTTTTAGTGGTATTGGTGATTTGTGTGTTGCGTTATGTTTCGTGGTGAAAACACCAATGGTTGATATATGCGTAGGTTGCTGGTGTGAGTGCAGTGGGTGATGTAACTGTGCCAGGAACTGATCCAGTATGTTCAAAAGCAGTGGTAGGAATGATTTTTTGGGAGATGCCAAAAGTTAATTCGTGCATGGTAATTGGTGTTTGGGTTAGATTTTTTGATGACTTAATTAGAAATATTTTTGATATGTAGGAGGTGAAGCAATACAATGCAGCAAGGAAGTTGGATAGGAGTATAAAACCTTCCGGGCCTTTGAGATCACCCTACATTACGCGACCGATTGATCCTTCAGATGGGTTATCTGTCCTGGAGAAGAGGGTGACGAATTGGTTGTTGCAGAATCTAAATGCTCCAAAGTAAGTTTTTGTTTTCAAGTCTGCAAATTTGATAGAACATTATTGAATATGTATGGTTTAAAATTTGAATTTTAGGTCTTTAATAATCACATATTATGATGTTTAGGGATGAAGCTGTTTTCGTGAAGGATGGATTTGAGTTAACAAGAGGTGAAATTGCGTCGTTGGATATATGGAAGCATATTTCAAAGAGGGTGATAGATGTGTGGTCAATAATACTCAACCACAATGAGAAATTCAGAAGTGAGGAATCCCCGTTACGTGTGTTTGCTAGGAGCATGGATTGTGTAAGCTATTATTTTTTCTGTGTGCGTACTTATGTTTGAAAGGGGTTTCCCATGATGCTTGAGCTGACGTGTTTTGAAAACAAAAGGTTGCAAATGGGGATATAGTCGATGTGTCTGAGGCGAACGTGAAGAACATGTTTGCAAATGCGCTGCTTCCTGCGTGGGATGACATGGCAGATGATTTCAACTGGGGGAAAGCTGAACTGGTAAGAATGTTTATAGTAGATGCAATGTGAAGATTGGAATCGGTTGTAACGTTGTGCGTGGTTTATCAGTAGTTCATTGTGTTTGAGAGAATATTTTAATGTGTCGTTTTTTGGATTATGTGCAGTTTTTCTTTCCTATTATGCAACAGAACTGGGCATATGTGTTGTGTGTTGACCTAAAAAGCAGACGCTGTGACATCCTGGATAGCTCTTCAGCGAAAGCAAAAAACGAAGACAGATATGGTGACATGCCAAAACGAGTTGTAAGAACATTGGGTGCATGGTTTTAATATAAGGTACATTAATGTGGATGAATTATTAACATGAACTGTTTCAACCAGGTGAGGTTGTTGGGTGATTTTCTTGAGCAGCAGAGGTTTGTTTTCAAAGGTAAATGTGTTAGAGAAATGGTTGCTATGAGAATTACGTTCCCTTGGAGAGATCCGAAGGCTACGTTTGACTATGGTGTGGCAACCATGCGTCATATGGAGACGTATATGGGGGATTGTGGAAAAGGATGGAACAGTGGCTTGTCAAGGTTAAATCTGAAACCTCTGATGTTGCTGCAATGCAAGTACTGTGCATGTATACTTCTAAGCCCAGTTAATGCACTGTTGGACAAGGTTTACGAAGAGCCGGAGAAACTCGAAAGGGAGAGGAAGGAAAAGGATCCTAAGTGAACCCACCCCTGGAATGGCTGCACCTTACTTTTGTGTTTTTGTTGAACTATTTTAATTTGTTGTTGGTGACATTTGGTGACACAGTTCATTGATGGAATTGTTATTTGGGAACAAGTTTTTTTGTGTGGATTGAGGCAGTGGTTTTTTTGTATATGGTGTGAATGGGTATGGTTTTTTGAATGAAGTTGTGGTGTTGCCAGATTTGGAGAGTTTGTGGCTTGATTTATGTGGTGTGTAGAGTGATGAAGACTTGCCTCTTTTTTTTAGAATGTGTTTGTCATTACGTATATTAGGAGTGTTGTAAGTGGTTGGATTGCGTGATTATTAAACAAGTTTCCTGTTTTGAGATTTGTGAACATAACGATTGATGAAGTGATGAAAATTGTAGTTGTTCGAAAAGAGGTTGCCGCATTGTGATATGAACGTAGAGAACATAAGAACCAATGTATGCATCACTAAATGACTTTAATACTATTATAATAAATCATTTGTATAGTGAAGGACACTAGTAGTTTATTAACACCATATTTGGCTCAAGGATTTTGAAAGGAAAAGGAAATAATAGGAAAAATGATTGTGTCTTGTTCGGTTACAGAGTAAAAGTTGAAAGAAAAGAATGTGACAAGGCAAAATATATTTATGGAAAAGAAATCAAACTCATCCCATTTTGCAGAGGAAAAGTGGATAAAACCATTTTTTTCTTTTCCATAAAAAATCCTTAAACCAAAAAAAAATATTAAATGATGCATTCAAGTGATTTGCTTGTGCATTTCTGGGTGTCTGAGCCGCATCTTTTATAATGACATGCCATGATGTACATTATATGCGTTAACATTTATATACGTTCTGTGAACAGGGTGAACACGTTTCAATAAACAAAACCCCACTCTATATGGTTTTAAAACCTCAGTAAAAAACAAACCCATACATGAAGTCATGTTAAAATATGCTTCATATCCACTTCAATATATGCATATATTCGTATGAAATCTATTATAAAGGTGGAATGCACAACTCTTATATGAAAATCCAGTTAAAGAGTGGTCTGTTCTGTGCCAAATGATATATGCAGTATAAAAAAAATGAAATGCTACAGGGGTAGAAGTAGGTGGTAGCTTCAGTAAATGAGCATGTTATAAAGGGAGGTGAGTAGTTTTGCCTGTCAAGGTGGGTACGGGGGAGGGGGGTTGGGAGTTGGTGTTGAAAATGAGTCATTCAACCATTGGAATTGATTATAACTATTCAGGAATACAAAAGATGGGAAAAAATCAGAGACATATAAATGGAATAAAAATGACTGAAACATTAATAAACAATAAAATTGGAACCAGAAAACAGACTTATCACTTCTCATGGTTCATAGGATAGTTCCTGCTGTCTTGGAAGCCATATTCTTTGCATGACCGACACAAGCATTTAGTTTTCTTTGATTCTTCAATGCTAACTTCCTTTCCTCCTTTAATACGCTTACCGCTGCCCTTCGTACAGACTTGCGTAGGGGGTAATACACGAGCTTCTGAAGGTGCAGAAGTGCCACAAAAGTTTTCAAACACCGAGGATGTGTCAGATGATAGTTTGCCATCTTGAAGTTTGTCGATTAGCGCCTCCTTGTGCTGATTTATAGTGTTGGAAAAGGCAAGCAGCAGATCAGGGTTGTCTTCCCCCAAGGCAATACAAAAGTTGATGTCTGACATCAATCGAGAAACAAGAGTCTTATTTTGATCAGTAAATGATACCTTGTCCATTTCTGAGCCACCGACATCGAACATTGGCTTGAGCAAATGGATTTTGCACCAGCGGTTGGTAACATACAAGTCGGGGATCTTTTCTATTTTCAGGGTTTTTGAAAACAACAAAGATGTGCCTGCATAGCAAGCCAATGCGTTTGTAGTATTTGCAACTGCAATGCGTGGTCCCATCGCGTTAACAGTAGCAGACAGTTGATATCATCCCACTTACATCGCTGATCTGATACTCGGAAGCATCCTCACTGTTTTGGATACATACAATAGCGCATGAAAAGCAGGATGCACAAATCTCTTTTTGCACATCATAAAAGACAGAGAGAGTGAATAACGATGCAGCGTGTTTCTCAATCTTTAATGGGGTTTTGAACACTAGAATTCCCGACTCGGACTCTGAGTTCAAACGAGTAAATTTGAACCGTTGGTCCTTCATTGCACTCTCGAATTGCATTAATAATTCAACTAGGCTAAAGTTGCGTTTGGTGAAATCGTCAAAGAAACTATTTTCACTCTCTGATCTAGACGTAGTGCGCAAACGCCCGGCCATAAATAAATCCCTGAAATAAGCTGGAATCCAAAACTTACGTAATGTGTATAGTGACTTAAACCACGAATGCTCCGTGAGGCTATAGTCTGCCATAACACTGCGCCATTGTGCTTTCCATTCTTTTTTGTCCAAGTAATGAGTCCAGACCACCTGATTAATGCGATTCATGAATTCCGTATCCTTGCTTAACACCGGACCAACTTTCCCTGATAGTTTGTTCATAATATGCCACAAGCAATAGCGATGCTTGGTTTGTGGTAAGACTTCTTCAATTGCAATTCGCATTGAAGGATCTTTATCAGTTATGATGCAGTTTGGAGCATTCCCATCGCGTTCATGAATGATCTCAACAACCATGAATATGACTCAGCGTCCTCGCTTGACAGTAAGCCAAAGCCGAATGTCACACACTTTTTATGGTTGTCGACACTAGTGAACGGAGCGAATATCATCATGTACCTACAAAAAGTGACAAGGACATGGATAGTGCTATGAATCAACAAAGAGTTGCATGCTATATTCGTATGAGTTGAGATGTGATAAATGGAAATTAATAGATGTGTGACCTGTTGGTTTTATATGTGGCATCAAAGGAAACAACATCACCAAAAAGGGAGTAGCTTTTCCTAGAAGCAGCGTCACACCAAAATAGCCTTGACACCTGGTCATACTCGTCAACTTCATAATCAAACCTAAATCCAGGGCATACTTCTGATTTCCAGAATAATTTTTCAATAACCATTTGAGCATCTCCACTAGCAATATAGGCCTTCAAATCGCGTTTGAAGTTTTTGAAGTCCACAGCAGTAGCACCAACACTTGAATACCCACCAACGGACTCCTTGAAAAGTCGGTATGATTTCATGGTGCCAATATTCGCTTTAGCACAGTTGAGTATGAACTTCTTATGGCCTAGATCAATGTTCCTGTTGATCTTCAAAAATGGCCTGTAAGGGAGAGAAGTGAGAGGATAATTGTGCTGTTCTTCGAATATGCTGAGAAGGTAACCATCATGACCAAGGATGCGAAACGCAACACGTGCCATACAGCCTATACGCTTAGAAATGTGTCTTCTTCTCCCAAGTTTAGGTAACGTAGCATGTACGATCACATTAAGACCGACTCAATAAATTCTAAGTCTTCGTTCTTGGTTCTTGGTTCTAGATTCTCAGTTCATCATGTCATGTTCCTTTGCCTTGGTTTTGCTCAGTTTAACCTTGTTATCATGGCGGTTTGGCATTATCAAAACCTGTCATAAAACGAACACGGTTTATTACAACATAGGTGTAAACCCATGTTCCAACACAACCTTTCTAAATTTGGAGCAGTTTCTTTTCTTCTTGGACTGTTTTAAGAAATCTTTCTCTTGCCTGGATTGCATCTCTGTTTGCTTCAATTTGCTCTTCACAAGTCAGAGAGTAATCACAACAATAGGGCGGTTTAAATGATGAACACTCCACCGCTAATGCTAGGTCTAGATTACGTATTCTCTCCTCGGTCTATAGAATTTCTTCAATTCATGGATGTGGCTGGTTGATAACTCGGGTTTGGGTTAGTACTTTTTATCCAATTTTGGGCATTTTTTAATATTTTTGGAGTTTAATTTTTAGTAGTTTAGCTTAGTTTTATTTTAATTCTCATTTTTATAATCTTTTATTCTTTTTCTCATAAATAGTAGATTTTTAGTCATTTTTTTTACATCTTATTGTTTTTATTTTATTTTTCCCTAATCTAAGTTATCAGATATCTTATTTTTTAGAGAAAAATATAGCAAAACGCCAGCAGATCAAATTTGGGAAGAAGAGAAAGATTTTGGGCCAGAGCCCAAACCCAACATCAAAGAATCAGCCGAAAACCTTTCCTCCCTCCACTTTACTTTCACGCAAACGGAAAAGGAAGTCTCCGTTTCTCCTTCAACGAGTAAAACCGGAGAAACATTCAACGCTCCAACGTTCGGCTCCATCAATTGCGCGACAATCAATTCTCAACGGGAAGAAAAGCTGTGCCTATAAATTGAAGACGAATTGCAACAAGGAAAGGGGGGAAAACACGAGGAACAGCAACGATCGAGAGCCGCGGCGGTGGTGATGACCGGCGAGTTAGTCCGGCGTCCGGCGGCAAAAGCTCCGGCCAGAGGTTTATCGGTTCCTTCAAGCTCCAATTCTTCAATTACTTCTTCTTCTTCAATAATTGGTAACCCTATATGTTATTTCTTCTCCAATTTCTTTGTAAAAGTGTTGTTTCAATTCAAATTTACATTTGTTTTGCTTGTTGTGTGAATTTCAAAAATTCCATAATGGTTGGTGTTCTTTTATGGGTTTTTTATATTATATTAAATCCCTTATGAATGAAAATTGATTCTTACTAGTTTCTTCAAATTTTTGCCCAAATTGATGTTAAATTGGTTGAATTATAAATTTGAATTCATAAGTAGGTTGGTGTGTCGAATTCGGTTATCATTGAAGCTAATTTAGATACATATTTTAGTTAAGTGATTTTCGAATTCATACATGAATCTTTTTTGTGACTTGTGTTTTGTAAAATTTTAAGGTAAATGATCTTCTTAGCCACATAAGTCGAACGTTTTCCTTAAGATTCGTTATAGAGTGATTGTTTATGTCTTGGTGTTCTTGTTTGTTATTTTCATAAAAATTGGGATTGTTTAAGCACAATAAACAACTCTTGATTTAATGATAATATGTAATGTTGTTCTTTATGTGAATAGATTACAATTCTTATACTTGAGTAGTTCAAGGAGACCTGCAAAATATTTTCATCATTAGACGTTAAAGTTTATTAAAGTGTATCAAATGTTCTTCGTGAATACTTTGTGCATGGGAGTTAGAATGAAAGAAAGATTCGCTCTTTTATAAACTTTTTCATCTTTTGGAATCATTGTTTGAGCGCTTGAGGTGAGTGGGGGTTCAAAGTAACCAAAAGGCCTTTGAATCTTTGACTCCGGGCCTTATAGAGAGTTGACGATCCTCTATATGTGGTCAAAGATATGAATCAACTCGAGCCTTTGAATTCTATTCTATTTTTAAGTGCGTAAGTTATGTAATATATTGTCTACGTGCCTATTATACGTGTAATGTTCGACTTGTGTTTGTTCTCTTTTTAATTTTGTTTCGAGTTTTGGCGGTGTTTCTTGGGTTACCTTAGTTGGCGAAGTTGATTATCTTTTGAGCTTGTTTTCCCCCATTTTAATCAAAAAAACCAAAAAATAAGAAAAATATAAAAAAACAAAAATACTTACTTTTCATCCAACCCCCCCCCCCCTTGTGTTTTAAGTTATTATATAAGTTTTTTACTAAGCTTATCTATAAGTTTTTTTGTTTATATAAGTTATATTTATAAGTTTTTTTATTTAGTTATAAGTTTTATTATAGGTTTTATAAGTTTTATCATACGTGTAGTAGTTAGTTTTATTTTTATTTAGTGACAACGTGTTTGCATGCTAATTTGATTTTAAAAAGTACAAACTTTCTCCGTGGGATCGACCCTTACTTGCCCTTGCTATAGTTTTATTTGATTATATCTTGGGGGTTAGTTAAGGTTATTTATAAATTTTTAATTTGTTTTGGACCTCACGACAAGTCCCCAACACTGGTCATCGTACATTGGCCCTTGCTGGTCATAATCATCTTGATCACCATGAGGTTCATAATAATCCCCACAGTTGTCTTGGTATGGAGAATATCCAAAACTCTGAGACAAGGTATTGTATGGTGGTTCCTCATGGTATGGAAAATAATCAGGTCCATTATTGACTCAGAAGTCATCATAATAGGAGTCCTGATGTGGATAATAGTTGGACTGTTGTGGGTAGTAATTGGACTATTGAGGATATGGTGGTGGGTTGTTGGGTGATTGGTAGAAAGGAGGCGGATCGTAGTAATCATCTCGAAAATTCATTTTTAATGATTACTACACGTGGCTTGTGAAAAAGAGGTGAGAAAATCGACCTAACCGGTCTTCACCCAAGCTAATTAAAAAAAATTAAACTAAAACCGTGCCACTCCCCGGCAACGGCTCCATTTGACGGTTTAGTTTTTCGGTAAGTCAACCTTCCGAATGAAGGATTAGTTTTCTCCGAGTGTCGTGTCTCTCGAGGAGTGGACGAAGGGAATTAGCTAATTTTTCTAACTAGACGAATGTTAGGACGAGTCTGAAAGTCTTCTCGATTTGATTTAAAAATAATAATAAACTAACTACTCGGTGCTTTTGACAGAAAGAAAATAAATAGTACGGGTATAGGACTAGACTTCAGGCCAAGGTATCATTTGAGTTAACTACTATTGTCACATATTTAATCAATAATTGGAAAAATAATATTTCTATTACAAATATTTCATTAACTTATCCTCTCTTAAGGCAACATTAATGTGTTCTAAAATGTTTGGCTTAATTAATTTTATATCCTCATAGACAAGGAAAAAACTAATTTCCAATTATTAATTAATTTTTCTATCGACATAATTAATTAATTTAACAATAAAAATAATATTAGAATAATTATTCCAACAATTAAATAAACATACATAGTATATGCCCAAATTTAGTCAAGACCCTAATCCAGGTCCTAACCCATACTAAATATTAACCGTACATAAAATAAAGAACATTTTATTAAAAGTTAGGTTGTAAAATTAAACTAACAACCGAGAGTAGAGTTGGAGCCACTTTGGGACAACCAGAACAAAACTAAAATAAAATATTAAAATATAACTAAGAACGGGAGCTATAAATTGGGTCCGGGCCTTAAAAGACCCAGAATTGGAGCTTATTATTTGAATGGAGGCAAAGGAAAAGGAGAAATTGGAGGAGGTGGCTAGTGGCTTAGCTTGAGATAATGGAAGTGGCTGCCATTTTTTCTTATCTCTTGCGTCATCCTTTATCTCTTCTTTCTTTTTCTTTTTTTTCGTATGATGATGATGGTGGCTGACAACTGATACAGGACGCCCCCCACTTGCTGGCTGCTATAGTTGGCCGGCCAGCCAGGTCACGCCACGTAGCAGCGCCTGGTTGGCGGGATTTTGATCCCTTTCGAAAATTTTTTCTAAAAATATTATCTTGCTCAAAATTTTATTCTGAACAACTTTTTCTGATGCACCGACTTCAAATTCCGAACCAATTTGGGTCAAATGAATTAATTTGAATCAAAATAACTTTTTTTAACTTTTTTTTTCAAACAATTTCTTTTTGGTACTTTTTCAATCCGTTTGACCTCAAATCTCTTGCCGGGATGCATCTCCACAATTAAATATATAATTTTCACTTCAAGTATTTTCACCATCTTTTTCTCCTTTGCTCCGCTGTATTCTATTTGCACAATCTTTTACAATTTTGTACTACTTTTGACTCAATTTTTAATATTTTCAAAACTAGACATAACTTTTGTGCACTTTTACAATTATGAATAAAAAATTATAAAAACTATTGAGAAATTGATTTGTTTGATCTAAAATTGGACAATAACACATTAAATATAGAGAATATAAGTGCGTACAAAACGGACTTATCAACAAACTTTATGCAAAGTTATCCAAGTGTGAATTTTGGCTTGATGAAGTCGCATTCCTTGGTCATGTGATATCGAAAGAAGGTGTTAAAGTGGACTCTAACAAAATATCTGCCATCATCGAGTGGAAGGTTCCGAGGAAAGTTCGTGAAGTGAAAAGTTTTCTAGGATTAGCTGGATACTATCGACGATTCGTTGAAGGCTTTTCCTCGACCGCAACTCCACTTAACAAACTTCTAAGAAAAGATGTGAAATTCGTATGGACCGATGCATGTCAGCAAAGCTTTGAGAAACTAAAGAAATGTCTGACAAAAGCACCTATACTGACACAACCAGTACCAGGTGTAGACTACACGAAAAAGTCGTGGCATACGCATGCAAGACGGAAAAGTCGTGGCATACGCATCAAGGCAGTTGAAGCCTCACGAATGTAACTATCCAACTCACGATCTTGAATTAGCAACAGTCGTATTTGCTCTGAAGATATGGCGTCATTATCTTTTTGGAGAGACGACATATATTCGCACAACCCACAAACGTTTGAAATACCTATTAACTCAAAAAGAGTTGAACCTGAGACAAAGAAGATGGTTGGAATTGATCAAAGACTACGACTGCTACATTGACTATCACCCTGGTAAGACTAACGTAGTTGCTGACGCATTGAGTCGAAAGATGATAGCCAAACTCCGAATCCAACCTACTCTTGAGAATGAAATTCACGCTGCACATAAACGTGATGACTACTGTTTGAAGACTTGTGAACTTGTCTCTAAGGGGGAGAGACAAGATTTCAATGTGAATGATGGAATTTTATTCTATAGGAATCGTTTGGTAGTTCCTAGTGGCGAAGTGAGGGAATGTTTAATGCGTGAATCTCACGAAACCACATATACCATGCATCTTGGTAGTAATAAAATGTTCCAGGATCTAAAGAAGGCATATTGGTGGCCCATAATGAAACGGGAAATTTCTAAATTTACAGCTCAATGTCTAACGTGTCAAGAAGTCAAGGCTGAGCACCAAGTACCCAGTGGATTATTACATCCACCTACCATCCCAGAATGGAAGTGGGAACAAAATACGATGGACTTCGTGATTGGACTTCCATTGTCAGCCAAAAAGAATGACGCTGTCTGGGTAGTCGTTGACCGATTAACTAAGTCATCTCATTTTATTCCAATTCGACGTGATATGTCCTTGAAGAAATTGGCAGAGTTGTACATCTATGAGATCGTAAGATTACATGGTGTACCTTTGTCTATCATTTCTGATCGTGACCCCTGATTCACATCGCAATTCTGGAAGAGTTCGCAGAAGGCCCTACGTACTAAACTCAACTTTAGTACGACATTTCATCCTCAAACGGATAGACAACCGGAAAGAACAATCCAAATCCTAGAAGACATGATGAGAGCATATATGTGTGATCGATTTTGGAAGCAACTGGGAACAATACTTACCATTAATGGAATTTGCTTATAACAATAGTTATCAAGCGATACTCAAATGGCCCCGTACAAGGCTCTGTATGGGAGACGTTGTAGAACCCCAGTATGTTGGACAAAGTTAAGCGAGCAAAAGCTAGAAGGACCTGATCTTGTTCGAGAAATGGAAGAAAAGGTTCGTCTGATCAGAGAAAGGCTACAGTGGCTTCTGACTGAGAGAAATCTTATGCCGACTTGAAACGTCGTGAGATAGAATACAACGTGGATGACAAGGTGTTTCTGAAAGTATCACCTTAGAAGAAAGTGTTACAGTTTGGTAAGAAAGGAAAACTGAGTCCAAGGTATATTGGACCATACCGCATCACTGAACGTGTGGGTCCGGTAGCTTACCAGTATGAACTTCCACCTGAACTGAATAAAATCCATGACGTATTCTATGTATCGATGTTGAAAAGATACCGTTCCGATCCATCGCATATTTTGACTGAGCGAATCGTAACTCTTGATAAGCAATTGACTTATGAAGAGGAACCTGTACAAATTCTGGCACGAGAGGTCAAACAATTGAAAAACAAATCCGTACCTCTAGTCAAAGTACTATGGAGGAATCACTCGACTGAAGAGGCAACATGGGAAACCGAAGAGTCAATGAGAACGCAATATCTGAATCTCTTCAATCAATGACTCAGGTAATTTCGAGGACGAAATTATTTTAAGGGGGAGAGAAATGTAACGCCCCAAAAATAGGCCTATCAGAAATAATTAATTGATAATTAATTAATTACTGAGAAAGACCCAAAAATAAGTTAACAATAAGTTGTCAATAATTAATGAAAATTATATCAGTGTGTAGAGTTTGACTATCTGACACCACCGGTTCAATCGGATTTCAATTTGGAGAAAGTTGGACCAAAAAGTGTACCCCAACTAGGACCATAAATTAGTCCCAATCAGTGACTACACTCCAAACGGCACTGCTGATTCGAACGGCACACTAGCCACACCAAATATTCAGAAAATTTCTTCACTTGGCTTCTTCTCCTTCATTCCTCTATTTAAGGAATCCTAACTCCCTCAATTCTCCACCAAATCATCCCAAATTTCTTTCTATTCTGCTGCCCTGAGTGAGGAGAGTTTGCCGGTGCTTCCATTTCAGAGAGAGGTCACCGGATTTGAGAACTTTTGTCACCGAAAGTTTTGCCATCTTTTAGCCGGAATCATCGTTTAGCATTAAGGTAAGCCCGTAGATATATCTAATGACTAGAATGTTCATATAGGTCGTTTCTACGTTCATAAATCGTCATTAGGTTGAGTTTTGTGTTTGAAATGCTTGAAGAACAAAGAATCATAAACCTTGATTTTGATGTTAAAACTATGAATTAATGATGCCAAAATGATCTATGAACCTTGGAGAACATTTCTATATAGTTTAATTGAAGTTAGCTCAAAATGATATTTACACTGCTTGAACCGAGGTTGAAGACGAAGTATTGTTCCTGCTTCGAATGCAGCCCGCAATAGCGGTAATGCACTACCGTGCGACGGTAATGCACTACCGTGAGACAGTAGGGTGGTACCACCACAGGCCATTTTAGCGTGTCCAAAATCTTTATGTTCGGAAGTTAACTCCAAAAAAATGCTACCATGATATTTTCCACTCCAAGTCAGAAATGAAACCATTTTTAAAGTAAATATAATATTTTGATTAATCCTAATATGTTATTTAAGGGTGTTAACACCCAAAGTTAGACCGCTAATTGTTATTACTTTGAATGTTATGTTAATTGATCATTATGATGTATGATTATTATGGATTAATGATAATGATTATTCTGAATAAAATGAGGATTATGAAGTATTGAACTAGAATCAAAATAAATGGATTGTTGAAAAATGAGTTGTATTATAAAGGATATCTAAAAGACCTCTAAGACAGACCTCCAATTAGAATGGGCCTTGCGGGTATAAATATGTATATTCGGTGGCCTTGGGTAAAAACGTACGTACAGGATCCATAAACCAAACTAGAGGAACTCGTTTGGGGGATACCACCCAACCCGATAGTTAGTATTCTACTGTTCGGTTTTCTGGATTTGTACCTTAAGCGAAGGCTAGTATAAGAGTTGGAAAATCAATCGGAATATATGTACCTTAAACTAATGACCTAGCTTAAGAGTTGGATAGAAGTACCTTGAACTACAATTAGTTTAAGAGTTGGTAAATATAAAAAAGTTTGACCTTAGACTAAGTATAGTTTAAGGATATTGTTGAATATTGAATGTCGAATATGAATGTTGAGATATTGAAATAAAAATATTGAGCATAACATGAATGAATCATATATTATATGCATGATATCAAATGGTTGTTTATGAATTGAGATTCAATTTATGTGAATGTTGTTAGGCTCTTTTATAGTCTTTAAATTCCCTTACATTTACTAATCTTTGGGTCACCATTAGTGAGAATTTGGTTTAATTTAAGATCAAGAAAGAACGTTGACCATCCTAGAGGTTAGAGTGCAATTCTTGTGTTATTTTAGGTCCATTGGGTTAAATGTTAGAATCGGGCTAGATGACCCAAAGTGAAAATAACCAACCCGGCCCATTAGTTTAGTACAAGACGTAGGGCGTTGGCCTAGGAGGGCAGTTTTTACGCTAGAGAGGAAAAAGGAACGAGAGAGAGAGAGAAGAGGAGATCGAAGGTTCACCGGAGAAAAATTCCGGCGACTAGGCATAATCTGGAGTTAGACCTCGCGATCATCATCGTCTGTCACACAATCACCAAGCGCTCCTCTTGATCAGGCACTGTAGCCGAACAGAGGAGTCATCACGTTCGCAGGATTTGATCCTCGAACGCTGTCCAGAGGTAATCCGTTGCTTTTGTTTCCAAATTTGAGATACATCCTTAATGTTTGAGGATTATTTGAAGTGTTGATTCAAAACTGAATGTGTGATTTCGTGTTATTCAAATCTGAGTCTTAATATCTTATTTGGATAATATTCTAATGTGGTCATGTGTTTAAATTGTGAATCGATTACCACGAGCATGTCCCGAGAGTAATTCCTCTCTTGTCTGGTGGAAATTTAGGATCAGTTCTCAGGCATTTGTGATCATTGCAATGATTCGAGGTTTAGACAATTGTTGAAGGTTGTTTAATCCTGTTTTGTGCTTAGCTTTTCAAATCTGTTGATTGTAGGTCTCATACCTCAATTATTCAGTATGACATTCTTATTTGGGGTCAAACAACTGGCATAAAGTGTAGTTGGCTGTCCAAGTACATTGTATGTTCAAAAGGTTGTTATAATTGAATTCATGCTTATGTTAATTTGCATCAGGCTCATTCTGAGGTCATTAATGTAGGTACAGGTCCTTAGGTAGTGCTCATCTCTCTTAAGGGCTGATTTTTGAGGTGGAGATTTAGTTTCTTGCTGAGAGAGAGCTAAATCTCACTTTTGTTCAACAACTTGTCTAACTGAGAATCTGATCTTTTTACTTTGACCTGAACAACTGTTCCCAATTCCACCAGACAAGCTTGTTCACTCTACTTGATAACCACAAATCTTTACCCGATCTTCTCTCTCCTTCCTTGATTTGTTCTCATTGTTTTCTGTTAGAATCTGTTTTCAATACGTAGCATTAGAATCTTATGAATAACCCCCCCTGCGTGTGTGTTGTTGTGGAAACTGAGCAATAAATCAAGAGAAGAAATAATAGAAGACAAATCTCCCTGTGGAAGAATGACCCTACTTACCACTTTGCTACCATTTTTATAAGTGTGTAGTAATTGGGGAATAGGTTAATTTGTTGTCACCTGACAAGTGGCTAACAAATTTTGGCACCGTTGCCGGGGAGATTTAATCTCTTCTATCTTTTCTAACTATCATACTAGGTCTTTATAAGTTGTTTTTGTGAACATCTGTGTCTTTTATACACTGATAAAAATTCACCAAAGTGCAAACTCTTCTTTTCTGTTGTGACTCAATGTTGAGTTGGCACTAACCCTTGTTTTAAGTGTTGTGTCAGTATCTGCCTTTTGATGCAGTTAAGAAGTGGTTTGGAGACCACAAGGGTAAGTGTTGAATTAAATTTGGAGAATCAGGTCAGTATATCTGAGGTTGCTACTTCTTTTGATTCTGAATTAGAATCTGAAACTGAGGTAATTGTTTCTCCTTTCCAATCACATAATAACATGGCAACTTTAAGGGAACTAGCTGCACCTGACCTTCAGACCCAGCCCATGTCCATTACATATGCTGTTTTGGAAAAACCATTGAAATTAAACTCTGGATTTTTGAATATGCTTCCCAAGTTTCATGGCCTGCCTGGTGAAGACCCTTATAGACATGTAAATGAGTTCCTCATAACATGTGCAGCCATGGAGCCTAAAGGAGTTCCTCAAGAGCAAATCAGACTTAGGGCCTTTCCCTTTTCAGTGATGGACAGAGCAAAAGATTTGTTGTACTATATGCCTCCTGGATCTTTTACAACCTGGCCATCACTGCATAGGGCATTCTTAGAGGAGTTCTTTCCTACCTCTAGAATAGGATCTATTAGGAAGGACATCTGTGGGATAAAACAACTGGGGAATGAATCATTTTCTGAATATTCGAAGAGATTCAATAAACTCTGTGCTAGTTGTCCTCAGCATCAAATCTCTGAACAACTGCTCATCCACTACTTCTATGAAGGGTTATCCCTAATGGATAGAAGTATGGTAGATGCTGCTAGTGGTGGTGCTTTAGTTACTAAGACCCCAGAGGAAGCTAGGAATTTGTTCAATCTTATATCTCAGAACACACAGCAATTTGGACTAAGGATGAATGAACCAGAAAAGGAAATTGAATCTCTTGCAACCCTCACTGATCAGATTGCCAATCTTACCAAAATTATGGGTCAAATGGTTACTGTGGGGGGAATCAAGAACTCACTTTTCTCTATGTGTATTCTAGAAGGGCATACTTCAGAAGTATTTCCCAGTTTTCAAAATAAAATGTTTTCAGCTCCTGGTTTTCACTCTGAAAATTTTCAAAATTGTGAGGTCAAAGCTGCTTTTAACAATCAAGGACAGAGAATGTAACGCCCCAAAATATACCCTAAAATTTATTGAATTAAATATTCAATTAAACAAAATTTGTTTTGATTAAAATAAATTATTGTTGGGCTTTGGGCCAAAATAAAATATATATTGATGTCCAATAAACATAATTGGGTTAAATCTCATAGAGATAAATCCAACCTGTTAACTTATTGTGTGATCTTGATTGGGAACCTGAGCACAGACCCAAATTAAGAATAAATGAAGAAATTGTTTGTAATGTAAACTTTGAAATGATTTATTGAAATAAATAATGGAAATAAATAATATGAATTAAATGTGAGAACCTTTTTGAATAAAAGTCAATTAAACCAATTTTGACTCTGTCAAAATCAACCACCCAAAAAGATGCTGTCAGAAAAAGTATTTCAAATGAATATAAAAACTATATCGTTGAGTAGAACTTGACTGTCTGATCGCAACGGTGCAAACGGAATTCAATTCGGATAAAGTTGGACAAAAAAATGTTCCCCGACTCGGACCGAAATTGGTCCCAATCAGTGACTTGCGTTAGGAATCGTGAAGATCGCAGCCCTTCCCACTGAGACGCCAAAACAGGGATGAATACATCACAGGTTTGGCTTCTTCTCCATTTCTATCCTATATAAACAACCCTCACTCTCTTCATTCTTCACCAAAAATCAATAAATTATTACCATTCTATTCTTGAGAGTGAGAGGAGTGGATTGGTGTTGTCAATTTGGTGAAAGGTCGCTGGAGTTGGAAGTTGTCGTCACCGGAAGTTTCGCCGGAAAATCTTCAAAACCTCCCTTACGCTTCGAGGTAAGCCCGTTGATATATCTAGTGACTAGAATGTTCGTATAGATCGTTTCTACGTTCATAAACGGTCGTTTGGTTGAGTTTTGTATTTGACATGCTTGAAGAACCAAGAATCATAAACCATGAAATTGATGTTAAAACTATGAATTAATAATTCCAAAATGATCTATGAACCTTGGAGAACATCTCTATATAGTTTAATTGAAGTTCGGTGATTAAAAATGGTTTTTCCGAAAAATGGACCGAGGTTGAAGACGAATGAACAGTGGCTGAAAATCCACAGAGTGGATCGATCCTCTTCATTGGATCGATCATCTGGGAGTTTTTCTTCTAGTTTGATCGATCCAGAGGGCTGGATCGATCCCCCGAAGCTCTGACCCGAAAATTTGTCTAAAATGTTATTTTTGAGCTCTAAAATCCTATTTTTGACACTAATTGATTATGATCATTATAAAAATGATTTACCACAATAAAAATGATTTTTTTGACAAATAAAATGTTATGTGATGCATGACGGTAAGTTCGGGTGTTAACACTCGAAGCTAGGCCGCTATTTGTTATCGAATGTTATGTTGATTGATGAGTATGATGAATGATTATTATGATGATTATGGCTTGATGAAACCACTGATTAAAATGATTATCAAGGATTAAATTATATATTGAAATGAATATGTTGATGATTATGAAATGATTTGGATTGTAAGGATATCTAGAAGAACTCTAAGATATACCTAGGTTGACTTTGGTTTCTAAGACTATCTAGAAGACCTCTAAGATAGCTTAGAAATAGGCCTTGCGGGTATAATCATGAGTATTCGGTGGCCTGGGTTAAAACGTATGTACGAGATCTACAAACCAAACTTGAGGCACTCGTTTGGGGATACCACCCAATCCGACAGTGAGCATTTCGGATCCGCTGTTCGGTTTTTGGATGACCTTAATCGAAGGTAAGTTTAAGATTTTGAAAACCTCTTTTGAAAATTTATATCTTAAACTAGGCCTAGCTTAAGGGTTAGATAAGAGTACCTTAAACTTGAATATAGTTTAACTATGTTAGTGATCTTAAGCAAATTCTCAACCATTTGTAGTTTTAGATTGGCCTTAGACTAAGAATAGTTTAAGGATATTGTTGAATGACAAATGATGAATATTGTATGATGTATGTTGAATAAAAATGTTGAATATGAATGATGAATATACATGTTGAATGATTGAATAATGAATGTTGAAAATTGTATATTGATTATTGAATATCTGAACTGAACATTATGTGCATGATATCAAATGGTTGATTATGAATTGAGATTCAATTTATGTGAATGTTCGACGCATTAGATATGCTTACTCAGCTTTACCGCTGAGCGTGTAGTGTGTTTTATTTGCTACACGCAGGTCAATAGAATGATGTGACGTGATCCTGGAGGCAGACGGAGGCGAGATAGTCGGAATCGATGTGATGGTTTTGAATTAAAGAATATAAATAAATTATGTTTGTGGTTATAATTTGTTAAGCTTCCGCAATATTGAAAACTCTGTACTGTTTATGATATGAAAAATATTATTATGATAAATAAAAGTGTTTGAAAAGTTTTAAATTTTACGATTACCAAGTTAATACTTTAGTCCGAAAAGGGCTGCAGACCTGGACGGATTAGGGTGTTTCAATTTGGTATCAGAGCAAATGGTTTTAAAACCGATCTTCGGATCAAAATTTGAATAAAAAAAATTGTGTCAATCACATCCACGACTCTCGCATCCCTCTGCTCCAGGAAAGGTATGAGAAATTACTTGGTAAATATTTACTCTGTTAGAATTCTCATTGAATAAAATTGTATAGTACTGAAATCGTATCGATCATAGACTCTAGTAGAACTTTCGTACCCGGTGAAGAGACGAAAGAATAAACGAAATATGTATAACCTCCTAATATGTTATCAACGTACACTTCGCATCGCGACGGACGAAACTGATCTGCATCGCAAAATTGTACGAAAGTGAGACGACTATGAAGAAACGATAATTGTTGGGAAGCATCTGTGAAGCCGATGTCAAAGACACTCATGTGGACTCAAGATGATCTAATCGCTGATTCAAACAGGAACGTTTAGAATCAATAAACTCTGTTATCTAAAGCATCCCATTCTGATGTCTAACTCATTAAGATGCAAATATGCGATTATATCTTAGGAATCCAAATCGTTCGTTAAGCGACAACTCCTTGCAAAACCTCGTTGAAATACCATACAAGGAATTTGACAATTATCATTAGTATACATTGGCTGATCGAACGAGGTTGGTATTGACAACTCTTGACGAAGAATTCTTCAACTGAAGATCGATGATGGAAACCTTATATAGGTGAAAGCAAAGCTGATTTCTAAACCAACCGAGTTCATCTCGAATTTATGTGCGCAAACCTCTCAACCATAAGGGCGTAAAGTCCTTTCATGTGATACGCGAAAGAAAGATCGGAACTGAAGGACCAATATTCGTAACTCTGTAATGAACGTGTTTCCATCAATGACTTCCTGACAAAGAATCATCTGACCAAGTGTTTCCTCCTTGGGAGAATACCTGTTTTGTTCATACACGAATCAATGAGACTCTATATCAACTACTGTCAGTTGAACAATTCGTTATCATTTACCTCGTATCATGACTTATTTGATCAGCTTAGAGAATCCATTGTATTCTCTAAGATTGACTTACGGTCAGGATAGTAACAAATCTCTGTTAAGAAACTTGAACAAACTAACGATCGAGAATTGCTATCCTTTACTATGAACTGACGACTTATTCTATCAAATTCAAATAACCTGCTTGTTAGAAGCTATAGACCGCTCAACCTTGTTGAATGAACTGGTGCCTTGTTATGAAGCGATTAATGACCTAATTACCTATCATCGAAAACGTCGATGTAGTATGATCAAATAAATGAAGTGATGCGGACAAAACAAATCATTAAGATAGTTGACTTGTTCGTATACCCTATTGATGTGAAAGATTGCAACGTGGTGACAATACAAAAATGTGAAACAGTCACACCAACAGTGAAAGACTGAAGAATGAAGAAAATGTAGCTCGCACTAGCCATACAGCCTAGGAGAATATTTATGGAAAATATCATTGCAACACAACATACAACTTGGATTGCAAGAGGAAAGTTACAGATCCAATTCTAAGTCTAGTCTTCCAGGATTCACAAACTCATCGTAACTAACCCCTGGACCCGGGAAAGCTTTAGCAAACTCTAGTTTGTCTAAAAGCTCATCAACAAAGAAAGAAGAGATGAATAGTTTCCTTTGATTCAAAGCCATGAAGTTCTGCCTCACCGCATCATCTAGAAACTTGATTAGGTTATTGAAATAACCGTCAATGTTTAAAAGACCAATGGGTCTATTGTGTAACCCTTCAGAAGCCCACGAAATTAAGCTGAACAAACCTTCCATAGTGTCAACTCCTCCAGGAAGAATGATGAAAGCTTCCACAGCATGATTCATCTCAAAATATTTGTAGTAATTGCTGGAAACTGTGTGCTCTACGCCATATGTAGGTCCGTAGACCCGTCGTGTTGCTATGTACCCAGGAATGAAACCTCTAATGAGACCACCATTGGTAAATACTGTTGAAGCAACAGCTCCTTGTAGGCCAACATTACCTCCTCCATAGGCAAGTTTAATCCTTTGCCTTATCAATTCTCTTCCTAAAATTACCGCAGTAGCCATAAACTTTGGATTTCTACCAAGAAAATAACTGCCAAGTAGACCAACGAATCTTATGGTGTAAGGAAGTGTTCGAGAAGTTCCTTCCATAATACGAGAATTTGAGATACTCTTTCCATAATCGTGATATATATAGCCTTTGAAACCTGACCATTGATGGAAAGGTTATTATCACCAGCCAAAATACATACAGTAAAATGGATTCAAATTACCTACAGACGAGAACGTACTCGCTAATACTATAGTCTGCTAACGATATGACGTATTGAGACTCTTGAACAATTAGATTCGCTATCCTAAAACACTTTCAAATCCGAGACGAAAAGTCAAAATGGCTATT